GCCTTGGTGTCCCTTTGCCGTCGGCTTGCCTTCTTCGATGACGTAGTCCCATAACCCTAACCCGTACAGCAGATCCTCCATCTGGACTCTCCAAGAGGGCCAATCCTCTACCCCGGTGAGAGGATCGATCCGGATCCTGCCGATGGCGTCAGCGGTTGACGTCGCCATGTGTTGTGACCGATAAGATAAGATATAGCAGCGGTAAGCGTAGTAATTCTCAGTTAGAGCTAAGCAGGGCTCATAACCTGTTAGAGTTCACACGAGAGAGAGAAGCTGAGAAGCAGGGAAGGATGATGATCGAGGGAAAAGAAGCCGTAGCTTATATACATGATGTAGACTAGCAAAGCGTAGAGTAGAGGATCCGCATAATAGAGAAGGCGCTTGACAGCCTGTCAAGCGCGTGACAAAGGGTACAAAGACAGCGTGCACGCAATATTCCAACAATCTCTACTATTTCGATCTATTTCTCCACTTCCTAGCTGTCACTATGCCAGAAAAGGTGCCACTCCACATACTGTAAATCCCATTCTCTCCCTTACTCGATATGTGTATAGCATCTATTTTGTCACAGGTTCTTTGCGCCGCAATATGAGCCACAAACTAAGCAATGCTGCCAGACTCCATCTTCCACTCCTCAGTGGTATGCGTACTGGACTCTTTAGACCCGCCTCCCACTTGATTCATCCGTGCTATATGCAGCACAGTCGCGCTTGAGACCCGGATGCCGTCCAAACGCGATGGATCGAGAGTATTGGCTGCACCCCCGCCAAAGGCTGTCTCTATATGCGAGTTGTTTTGTGCGATGAGTATGATCACGACGACCGGGTAGATGGCCTTCGATGGGTTATGAGAGGTACATTCCTTGAAAAATGAGCTCCAACGTACAGTAATAGGTATAAGTCCTCCGTCGATGAATTCGCCGAATCGCACCTGAAACTGAAACGCAGGAGCAATTCCATCGACGATGGGGTGCACGAATATCTGCCAAGCAACCACGAATATCTGCAAGCAGAAAATTAAGTTTCGCTGCTGGAACGTGGATGCAAAACAATCGACCTACCCAGATAGTACAATATACCATCCCGGATTCAACGAACACAGAGAATAGTCTCTCCACCTGGGTTGTCCTGTTGCCCGATACCATGAATTTCCGCAGGAACCTTTTCGATTTCCTGCGCCGTTCAGAAGAGGCTGGCATAAGGGAGATCTAGATGGGAATGATGACGCACCATGCCTTGTAGGATACTGTGATGGTTGCGAAGAGATTCACACTCAACGACAGCACAGAGGCGGCGATGCCGTATGGTGATCCTCCATACATGCCTCCCGGAACGCCGGTATTGCCATTAAGTGACTCGCCGAAGGTTAGCTCACCGAAGAGACATCTGAACCTGATATCCACTGCTCCCAGAGCTTATAACCCCAGAGACAACGATCATGAGAACGTATAGCAATTTCCATATCTATGCAAGCTCACCGAAGGTTGTCAGTAACAGTATGATTGAGATGCCTTTTATAACACGGTTCCCTGGCCAAAGCAACAAAGCTCGCCAGCAAACAATTGAATCGCCCAAGAGAATCTAGGGAAATGTAAAGGTGTTGTAACAAAATACGGTGTGATAAGAAGACCAGGACGTACGTTGACTGTGAGCGCCGCCGTATTCGCACAGGATCCATAGGAGATGGGACCAGAGGTCAATGAGTTTAGAACTGACGGTGTGACCTCGAGCAGGAATGTCCCCTCCCAGATTATTTGTACCATATGCATTGCGTTCCAAAGAATGCTGCCCTGTGTTTCCAGAATAGTGATGATGACGGCCAGTGTGGTGGATGCATAGAGAAGAACGAGTGCTAAACCAAGGACAATCGTGGTGAAACGATGGGTATGCCATTGCCTTCAGATAAATGTCACCCTCTGCGCAAATGATCAGGTATTATGGCGTTGAGAATGGCGGGCTCACTTTACTAGAAGAGCGGTAAACGCTATGAGGACCAGCGTCGTGAAGCATCCTAAAATCAAAGTCAGTCATATTGATGAATAACGGGACTCAGTCAGCTTCTAACAACCATGTAGTGCGGCAGACAGTGCAATCTGCCTTATTGCTTCTGTAGTCTGACCTGCGACAACGTCCCACCCAGATGGCTTAAGGGTGAGTGTCGAGCTTGACATGAGAACAATCTCGTGCAGCCACTAGTAGTAGGGGTGTGTCAGACGGGGGTGATGTTATCTAGGAGGATGGCAGAGACATAATATATGTAGCAGATCATAGAGCAGGGACTGAAGTGGAAGGTAACGGTCTTTCCCTGGTGTCTCGGCGCGAAATCATTAGTATCAAAGCACGATGTCACAGCTACGGCGCCAGGCTACTTTCCGATAATCTTTTCCTTCTGACTGATTGAAACGCTGTCAGTGAGTGCTACCGAATGAATGGCCCGGGCATCGATGATGCCGGAAGTAGATTACATCTCTTCTCAGGTACTGATGTATCAATGGCACGTCCTTCTACAACACCGTTCACAAAATTTTGGGCTCGTCACATGCCATAGAGCTTTCTCACATTGACCATGGATGTATCGACAGATCTAAACACCAGACTTCGCGTTATTCTAGACCAGACTTGCCAGATTGCGCAGTCGCCAATGTGATTCCGTTCTGCCTAAAAGGGTCGTAGGGACTACGCCCAAGGGCTCAACCACTCGTCATCCTCAGCCTGGATTCCAGCATGAGCGCGCGATGGCTGTCGATCGAATGTCAGCCAGTCAGACAGAAGACTACCTGCAGGTGATGGCAAACACTGCGGGACAGCTGATCCCGGGAGTTCCGAGCCTGGTAAAGGCAGTCACTAACCTCGATTCAGCCTGGCCGGTGCCCGTTGGCTTGACAGTTCACGTTGAAAGCGCTGGGAAGGCAGATTTGATGCGTCCGCTACTATGACATCGTGACCGACATACCTTGAATAGTACTGGATCTCTCGTGTATACTGAACGAGCCTTGAACTTAACTACGGCACGATTGATTGTGGTGAACTCAGCGATGGGTGCCAAGGCGAATCCTCGTCCGAACACTTCACTTCGAGATGCAACTCCTGTCGCCGGCGCCGAGGGATAGCGGCGCAATTCTCATCTGTATCCTGTCAAGGAAGCAGATGTGAATCCCGTCTGGTCGTAGAACTGAGAGATACCGAGGATGCGATGATGTAGCCGAGATGCAGGGAGTCAGAATGTGATGGACTGAACTGTGTCGACGGAGCTCGTTTGGGCTGGGCTTTAGGGTCTTCGTCCTGAATCGTAATTAATCACTGAAAAAACCGACAGATGGGTCTACATACAAGATCCCGGTGATAAGGGGAAGGGGGAATTGTCCCTGTATTTTTGTGAGAGCATTTTCAACGCCAAGGTTGGGAGTCTGAGGTAGCAGGTGAGCGACTCGGATGCCGAGGGTGGAACGGTCATGGCAATCGGGCCTTCTATCCGTACTTGCAGCCACTGAGAGATGGGGCGGCGTTCGTGAGAGACAAATGTGGATGGTGCCTCAGATGAGTCAGATCACTTCAATTTTGAGTTAGCGGGCAGACTCAACGGAGAGGACGGTGATGGCGACTTCGCAAGTCTCTGGAGTCAAGTCTGTAAAGGATGACGACTATATATCCATACTCGAGTCGTTGTGCAACCGTATATCCACGGCGGGATTGAGGTGGAAGGCAAATAGTGGAGGATGCATGTCACCAGCGTTCACAGCGCCTGGGAATCTTGATGAGTCAGCACCACACCTGGAGTGTTAGAGCGACAGAAGATACGCATTAGTCTAAGCCCACCCCTCGATCTTCTGGCTCTCTCTTCCTTTTCGCATTCATGCTCTCCACAGAGACGGCAACCACCATGCTGACCGACGAGAGGATGTACTCCCGTGCCTCAATCCGTCGAACGAGAAGAGCTTGGGCAAATTCTGTACCTGGAACGCTACTCTTGGGTTCGCCTCGACGTTGACGCGCACGGCCACGAGATACGCCCAATCTATGCGGAGCTACGCAGACGATGGCGGACAAGTCCGTTTTGGCTGTGCGGCCGCATTCCTCGAGTACCCTCACATCCGCCAGCGATGCACGATAGAGGTGAGCGACTACTCGACGACACGCGCGGGCTCTGCGTGGATGGACGACGGCGAGTTCCTCAAGTTCCTCGGGGATGAGGGCGAGCGCGGGGCAAGCGGGGCGCGGGAGCCGTGGGTGCGGGTGCGGTGGATCTATGTCGGGGGCATCAGCTGGGAGGTCAACGGCGCGGTCGCGCACAAGTATGGTGCGCCGCCTTCATCCGCGATGATCTTGTGTGCTCAGTGCTAACGCGACGTCATAATATGTCTGACTTGCAGGCCTGCACCCGCTCGCGCTCGAGGACGTCCTCCATCAGCACGCCCCCCCTACCCCCTCCATGGCTGACTACCGCCTCTTCATCCGCATCCTCGTTCACACCCTCGCCTCCTCCGCATTCTCCTCCTTCTCGGATGATCGCGCCCCCGAGAGCACCTCTTCCGCGGACATGTTTTCTGGTATAATGCGTTCAGATTTCCCGGCTCAGATCGACGGCGAGGAAGAGGCCGACACACAACAAGAGTCCTGGCGTCATCGAAATAATCTCAAGCACCATTAACGCTGCGGGACCCGGATAACGTGGATGACAAGACGAAGCTGGAGGGGTATATCAGCCATAAGACGAAGATATATTTGGTGCGTTTGCCTGTTCGTGGTCGGGCGTCAGGCGTGTGGTAGGTATGGGCGATGAGGCTGATCGGCGTACTTCAGGCTGATGTGTACGTTCAATGTGAGTCCCCCAATATTGCTCTCTTGTCGATACTGCATCATGTTAGGACAATCTGAGCGAAGGCCTGATGTTCATAGATGGCGTCATACGAGATGAACCCAGTTATGTGCATACACACCCTCTCGGGTTAGCCAGGACGCTGCTGACGTGCAATCTGAACCAGGCGCCATCTGACGGTCGTCTCAAATATCTCCTGCCTGCTCACACTCCTCACCGGGTACTTCGCGCGTGTCCTCGTTTCCCATTCACTCGATCATGTAGTCTTGCGCGCGCTGATGTCTCATCCGATCGCTTGCGCAGGGCATGAATTTGACCCCAATGTGGTCTGTGAACCACAACAGCGACCTCCTGTTCTGGGAGATTGCGACCCCGGTCATACTCATCGTCGTCCCGCTCTTCATGTGGGGAGATATACGACGGATGATGCATTACTTGGTTAAGAGCTGGAGGCGGAGGAGCATTAACGAGGTGCGTACTTCATTCTCCTTTGGTGATGGGGCATTATGCTGACTTGGGATGGGTGGGTGGCAGGCGTTCAAGCGTGGGTAGGGCGAAGGGGTAAAAGTTCGGTGCGATTTGGCACTCCCTTCTTCTTTCTGTCTCAATTTACACTCGACGGAGGAGCTCTGGTATCCAATGCTACGGTCCAAGACCTGCGGGCTACTATGCGGAATTTCATGACCGATAAACCTCCACGAATTCTGCTCACTCAGCTCCTTCCGCGCACTCTTCTCGACTTTACGTTCACTGCCTGGCTCTTGCTGTCTGCTCCCCTCACCTATCAGCAACCTCCTCGTAGATGTACTGTCTGTCTAACCTCTCACTCGACCGCTTCTCCAAATAGGCTGCAGTTTCCGGAACGTTATCATATCGTCCACGCGCGCGTGTCTGTCTCCACACGCAACTTTGCATCAATACGGATTAAGCGCCGATCCACAGAAGAGCGTTCATACACAGACATGGTGGAGTTTCCGAAGGACCAATCTGCAGCCGCGGTGACCGCACAGCGAGCACTTGATGGCAGTCTCGCAATCTTTCACATACACGTCATGCTTGCGCGCAGGGTACGCGCCAAGGTTCTTCCCCATGCGTATGCACGACATGTACAGCGAGGCGTCCAAAGCTGTCGGCCAGAGCTGGGGAGCATGCAAAGTACGTGTCGCTCCCATCCTGTGCGCAGTCTCTCTCGTTTTTGAGGGCTTTGTAACTACTCTATCTAGAGGACGCCGTCGCAACATGATCCGGTCATGTTGACGTTTGACCCGAGCTCCCTCGTCTGATACAAGGCATGACCTGGAAACCGTTCTTATGCAGTGAGCTTCGCCGGTATCTTTGCGGGGTGAGGTTCGCCCAGTAGTATGCTCGGAACTGGCAGAGTTGGTGGTTTCCGGTGGACAGCATCGCATTCCGGCGGAGTCCGGTGGACAGTGTCGGCGATGGACGGACTTCGACGGATGCTGCCGGGCATCGTCGGGCAAGGATGAATACCAGTCTCGGCCATTGAATGCGCAGCAAAGGACCCTTCGACGTTCTCCAGGTTGTCAGATATTGTAAAGCCGACTGATATGCACAGAAAAATGTCCCAGCTTATTATAGCTTTGGTGGGTGCTTCACTCGCTAAGTAGTGAGCAAGCCATCGTGCGTTGATATGAGCGCCTGATGCGTGACGTCACTTGTCCCATATGCAGACAGGCGTCGGCTAGTCCGTTTATGGGCATCGTCCTGCTCGGCCTCATCGAACTCATCACCCGCGGGTTCCGGTTAAGGTCGACGCCCAGACTTGTCTCCCCCTACATCTACTACTCATATTCTATATCCGTATCTCCTTCATGAACAGCGGCTCGCCATCAATCCCAGTGAGAACCTTCCCTATTTCCTACGATTTGCGGCTTTTGCCAGCGAATGCCATCTTTTGCCATCGTTTTAGAGCTGTCGCGATGACAGCTCAGCATCTATCCACGCTCGATTTCATGCATCAATGATCACTTTTTGTATATAGAATGGCCATCTGACGTCGATTTGCCAACCCTTCCATACAACAACTGTTTCATGTATACATCGCCGCATCCATATACATCCAATTCTCTGGGCGCCAAACGACCACTATCATCCATTTCCATGTCAGGCTGGTCCTCGATCTCGTTCCCGACCCCTTCATCCATGACGCCATCGACATCCCCGACGCACTCATAAACGCGGTCAATTGCTGTCTCGCCTCCGCACACTCTCTCTTCTGTTCTCCCACTATCGGCACTCTCACTGACTGCTTTGAGGCTACAAGGTAGGTACTAGCATAAGGACATTTATGGTACATGGTAGTGAGCGCATACAGGTGAGCTGGTTAGTACTTGCATAACAGTAAGTGGTGGCAGGCAAAGACTGTACACAGGTGGGCCACAGTACAGTAACGCTGACAGTTCCATGAGCACGAGTTCATAGCCACGCAAGCCACACACTTTACACGCAGTAGATAGGCCGGCATGAGATGCGGGAGGCAGCAGTGCGGCAGGCGGGCGCAGGGCGGGAACAGGCGTCAATGTATCCCAGCGCGCGTGTCATACTGTAGAGTAACTGATGATAAATATATATGCTTCCATTCCAAATTGAGATCGCATCGAGCATCCGAATCTGTACCAATTTTTTATGAGCTTTATGTGTCTTCTTCTGTCTGTCGAAACAGGCCAGAATAGACTGTAATCGACCAGAAACGCTACAAATCGACAGATAAAGGTGATGGCAAATGGCTTTTTGTGGCCATATCTGCCTATCTCCTGCTATATCTACCGATATCCACCGATATTGGTCTTTATGCCAGCTAGAACAAGCTACAAATCGTAGGAAATAGGGAAGGTTCTCACTGGGCATCAATATTGACACCCAGTGAGAACCTTCCCTGTTGCTCACGATTCTCATCTTTTTCGGCCCGTTTCAGTCCGCCCAAAAGGCAGAAGTAGTCAGATATCCACATGTATGTAGGTGAATGCATATATATCCGTCCATATGCACACAAAAAGCTATTTGCCGTTCGTCGTCTTTTCCCGTCTGTCTCCGTCTATTTACTTATTCTTCGCCCGATATCTGTATGTGTTGAACAATGAAAAGTTGGTCAGCGGGGATTGAACCCGGGTCATCCCATATGCGCTGGGAGGTGTTACCACTACACCATCCAACCGATACTAGAGTGTGAATTCTACAGATTCCAACACTCCCCCTGAAGTCACACTCTGGTGATCAATCAAGGAACCAACTTTTCCAAATGAAGTTACCCTCAGGCACATTTCCCGAGGCGGGGGTTCTCTGACCCTGCTCCCTTCGAAGCGTCACACAGGGCTCATAACCTGTTGAACAATGAAAAGTTGGTCAGACCGGGGATTGGAACC